CCAAGAAGGTACTTACTAATTCTCAGACAGTTGGGAATTTAAGTTATGTTGGGCATCTAGGTTGCTCCAAGTATTATCTAATCACCAATACTTGGAATTAAGGAACACAAGGAATTCTAACTTCTGTTGTCAGTGCTGGGTGATGGAGAAGCCTGTGTACTACTGTGAGTCAGTGACAGCAAGATCCGATGTTTTTTTTTTCCCTTGTACTTCAGTTGCCATGGCAGCAGCATGCTATGGAAGTGAATACAATGAGTTTAGTTCCAGGTACTCTGCCTAATGTGAATTCTTCAAGTACACAATCATGGCTGTAGCTTCTTTATGCAGCTTTGTAGTTGCACTGTGCACCTTCGTCATCCTGCACTGAGGCAAGCTCATGGGGAGTTTATAAAACTAAACTGACAATAAAGGCCTTGTGTGTTTTTTGGTCTTGCACAGTGTGACAAGTTACACAGTTTTGGTGCAGTGTTCTGTTCGAGGACTGTAGGAGCTTTTACAAAGCAGTATTCTGGGAATTGAAAGTCAAATTTTCTAACATACAATTCCTCCTTTTCCTTTCAGAAAAAAGCTAACTAAAAGAGTGTATGATTGTTTAGAGATTCAGCATATACTAAAGGAACGGAATGCTAAGAAAATAGATCTTTAAATCAAACATTACAATTCTGGGTCTATTCAGCTGTTCTTAGTACAGCTTAGGCATCTAATGTGTTTTTCAGTACCAGTGGTAGAGAGTCATGCCAGTTATGCATAAAAGTGTACTTCCTTACAGAAATCTCTTAAAGCAAGTAGGTTATGTAGATCCCAAAATAGCCCTTTCTTTAAAGGAAGTAAATCATGTGTTGTTTCTCTGAAAACTTATACTAATGATTAGCAGCGTTCTGCCCATAGGTACGTGGAGGCCATGGACAGTACCTGTTAATGATTTATTCACATACTGAAGTCTCAACCTGCAGAAGTTAGGAATGAGCTGGCTATTTTTGAATGGCCAGCTTGATGCACCTACTGGGTCTCAGTCTGAAATAATAGTATGTCATACTGTCAATGAAGTGTTCTAATAATTTGATGGTTCTAGACTAAGAAATATTTTCA